TTAAAAATCCCATCGTCGAAATTTCAATGAGTAAATCTTATTAAAGAATTCGCATTAGTTCGAATTTTCGCCGATAAGAGGGCAGCATCTCCTGGGCATGATATGTGGCGCCATCTCTGAGAGAAAGAGTGAACTTTCTCCAATAAAATAATTCCGAAAGTAATTCGAAATTCAGCTGTATCACGCTGGTACAGATAAAACTGCGATAGGGCACTTTCAAAAAATCCCTTTACTTTTTGCAACATGCAGATGGAATGAAAGTAACGACAGAGAAAATGCAGCATAGCCGAGAAGAGGTGTAGAAGCATAAGGTTGGAGGAGAAGGAGAAGGATGCTGTTAGGACGGAGGAGTGTAAGAGAGAGACAGAACTCATTCTTACTCTGGGATATTCGCATAGGGCAAAAGAATATCAACGTTTGTATGTGTTTAAAGATAATTTATTGGATAAACGCAATAATGATACAGTATACATAGTACAGACATACATACAGCGATACAAAGTATATAGTATATAAAGTGCAGACATACATACAGACACACAAAGTACATAGTATACAAAGTGCAGACATACATACAGCGATACAAAATACATAGTATATAAAGTGCAGCCATTCATACAGACATACACATACAGCCCGCGAAAGATTTGTAATAACAGTACCATTAAAGATATATTACATATATCAGTGCAATATAATGTACGTGTGGTATCTTACATGCGCTGACACTTTACACTTTTCTTTTTCCAAAAGAAATTTTAAAAACTGAGTTTTTAAGGATATACTAGGAGGAGAGTGGTGGAGCCGTAGGAAGGAATAGGAGATTCGAAAGTAGAGTAGAAACATTTGGTGGCAGCAGCCAGGGAAGATATTGTTGAAGGGAAAAAGAGGAAGATTGTTAGAAAGAAAGAGTGAAGAAGAGTGATGGTGAGGATTGAAGGAACGAGAGGAGAAAAAGGTGCGTAAAACGTATGCACGAGGACCATATTATTCGGGAGGAACGACAAATGAGAAAACTCGAAAAAGTAGGAAAAGTAAGAAGTTTAAGGGAGCGAAATGGGCCCCTCCGCGCCCATTTCCGTGAGGTCCTGCCTCTCCTGAAGGGAGCTACGACCCCTCCGAGGCCCCATAGAAAGGGACAAGTTAAACGCGAAAGGTCTGCCCTTAGTCAAGATTCACCGCAACGAAAGACCGCGGGCGTAGCACCCAGCGAACCCTTGCGGGCACGCCGGGACATCCGGAAGGACGATATTTAACGCTACAACCTCCGTCCCTTCCCACGGGCAAGCCCAGTGGGTTAGACGTAAGGAACCACGCCCGCCGCCGGCGGGGGGCCCCGTTAGCCATCGATCCCCGCGCAAAATGTCTCCGACAGAGGGTGACTTTATACTAGCGGGTGCTCAATAGCACCCGCACCTATCCCAAGTGAAGTGACCCCCAAGCACAAGCACAAGTAGGACTTTACCCAAAGTCAACGGACTACCCCTCCGACCTCCCCACGGACAAATAGGATCGTCTCTACCCACACAAGTGCCCAAGGGTCAAGACATGTTGGAGCGTTTTTAGCAAAGCGAACAAATTATACTAAATACGCGAGAGCTAGACACCTGGCTAGATTCACTATACGAAAGACCATGGCCGTAGATACCCTAAGGGGGCTCAAGGCCCCCGTCGGGAGACCCATAAGGTCCTGTTGCGGCCACAACTTGGGCCACCAACCACTGAGCAAGCTCAGCGGAAGAGGCGGAAGGGCAACCCCCGACACCATGGTCTTAAGTCTAGCTGCACTAACCGGATGACTACTCTTATATGACTACTTGAATTAATATGCTCGACCCGACCAAAGGAATAGGAAAAGTACGACAAATACAATGGAAAGTGAGAGGGAACAAAGCGAAACGAGAGAAAAGAAATGAAGATAGAAATAAAAAAGTGAAGAATGAAAGATAAAGAAATAAGGAATTAATGAAGAAATAAATATAGAAAGCAAAGAAGGTTGGAAATGGATATAGAAATAAAGAAGTGCGAATAAGATAATAAGAAAGAAATTAAATAAGTGAAAATAATAAAGAAATGAATATAGTAATACAGAAGTGAAGAAGAAATGAGGAAAGAGATAAATAAGAAAGTGAAGAATGAAAGATAAAGAAATATGGAATTAATGAAGAAATAAATATATAAGACGAAGAAGAAGAAAGTTGCAAAGGAATATGAGGGGTATTTCCAAGAGACCAGTATAGGAGACCGGCTCGAGGAAGAATGAGCGCTCCGAGTCCGGGCGCTGCCTTCGTCGCTTCCCCCACCTTCCCCCACTCGCCGAGTCCTGCGCGACGAAGTTGCGCGCACACAATTTTGGGTAACTTCCAGTATTTCTAAGTATGCTTGGCCAGAATTTCCGACTTCTAAGTGTTAATATTTTACTTTGTTAATTTAATTAATTATTTTAATCTTCCAAACACCTAATTTATTAATATTTCAATTTGAACGTAATTTATTTTCGATATTCTACAATTTCTATTCAATTTTTATCTACACTATTTAGCCTCAATTTGTTGTTTTGAATCAATTTCGATAGTAACTCAAGGTCTAATAATATTTAGTAACATTTGGAAAGCTTGTAATATAATAAAGAATATATAGTATAGTATAATCATGTATTCATTAAATCCTCAGATAATTAAGAAAAGCAATACGCATAGTGAGCGAACAAATATAAAACAAAGTAATAACCGCGTGTCTCGAACTCGAGACTCTGCGTGCTAGCCGAAACACTGTGCATGTCTGCTGTTCACTCATCAGAGTATGAAATTCAAAAAACTCATATTTATGTTATTACCCGCGTTTGGGATTTGCTTAGAATGTACTTTCTACCGATCACAAACATGAAGCTGGTTCGAGGTTCCTTCGTCCAAAGGACGCGTCGACTTCAGATGCACATGCTTCAGAGTGCCACCCGGTATAATTCCATGCGTCTCACGGAGCTCACGAAAATCAAGCGTAGTATTACTATATATACTTGACCAATCAAATACGTGGACTGGTTTGACGGCCCTCCACACAGGTGGCGCGTCGATGCCGAAATAAAACTTTTACCATGAAAATCGGCTCATTGGAAATCTTCCTACTGATCGCTAGTGGATTCACGTTAAACAGCATGCGCACAGCTACTGACGAACTGTTCTGGCAATGGCTCCTGTTTTGTGTAGGTTACAATTATTTATTAAAACAATACTACGGATTTAACTTATCATTTACTTACCCCAAAATACTCAAGAATGTAAATTAGCTAGATTAGTAGTTGAAATAGAAACACCTTTAGTCTTATACGATCCCGATTGAATGACTACAATCAGTGAACCCTGAAAAGAAATAACAGAGTCAATATTTCTTTAATCTCGAATAGCATAACTCGTTGGCAATTATCTATGGACAAAAGTAAGTTACAATTTACTCGTTTTTACAACAATAAATGGGTAATCAATCATTTTTAGTTATTACCTTATCAGCTAAGATCCGCAAAGCTTCGTTTCTGTACAACGATTTTACCAGCGTAAGTTTCGGATGACATATTTCGAGCCATTTATGTAGCCAGTAGAGCCGACAGATGGCACCACGCGACTCCCAAAATTTTATTAAGTTCCTTGAGGCCCATGGATCCTTCAACCCCACTGACTTGCGAGTAGGAAACTACGACGTCATTAGAGGTATATTTAACACGTGTACCTAAGTACAGAATTGCTCTCCCTTAATCAGAGATTTACGTACTTATTATCCACTTTGAAAAAATCATGGCAAGTCTAACGAGGACAAAAACATAATGAAAATGATTTGGCCAGGTATCTTTATTTTATACGTATAATATTCCGATACATATTTTACACGTAATACGAGTACCTGCCGTTTGATAGTTAATTATGTGTATGTACACTTCAAATAAAACGAGCTCGCGAAATGATTCGTTATATTTCTGTCCAATAAATTTTTTCAATGGCAAATTCGTAGGTCTCGCGTAGATTTGTAAGTTATCATTTCCATCCCAAAACACAGTGAAGACAATAGAACGAATCACGTGGAAAAACTGTTACGTACGCTACTGCTATACTTGTACGATATCTCGTTAAAAGTACGTAAAGAAGAATTAGGAAAACTTAACAAATCTTATAAAACGCTGAGTGCTTTGTGCAAATCTAAATATAAAGCCGGCCCCGCAATTTCTCAATTATAAAAAAATTATGCGATTTTCAAAAACATTTACTGAGGCCGAGAGAGAAGTTTTACACGCGTATCCATCAATAATCCATTAGTATAAATACCATAAGTCCCTTTTTTTACAAAAAAAAAAAAAAAGAGACACATCAATGTATTACAGTAAAAATTAAATTTATGCGCATTTTATTCAACTACGGCCACGTTTTTTTTTTAAATATTAAAAATTGACTGCGAGTTTTATCGGCATTAATCGAAAACAATATATAGCTATACAATTCGCTTCAATCGATCATCCCTCTGTTACAGCCGTTTACGTACAAGCAGTTGCCACAAGGACTAACTTGGGTTCTTCCCACTGTACAAATGGGAACCTTTATTTGCAAGGCAGCCAAGCAAGTGCACGGGATGCTAATTACTCAAGTGATTCGCCAAAGGGCCAAGACGCAAACACGACTGAGCGTAACCTCAGGATACACAGTTACAGGTATAGATGTATCTGGCATCTGTAGGTGGCTAAGGTTAACGCAACGATAAGTGGGAGGTCTCGTTACGACCGTCGTGCTAGAAAATTCTCTAACAAGCCCAGCCTATTCACATTAATTTACAGTACATAATTAACCGTCGATATATCTCTATCTACTCAACAAGAATGAGCGGCTCCTCGCGCGCCTCTACAGAGCCACATCCTTAAGCCTCTCCAGACAGAAATGGTGGCCGCCGTGAGTGTCTTGTTACTTGAAACTAGCGCATGAAATTTTTTTTATTATCCTCTCTACCTGTGCTCCTTCTCTATTTTACTATAAATTTTTCATTCTCTCTTTGTACGTCCAGCACGAATTATCTAAAAATCGTCGAAAACGCATCCGGCGACGCATCGAGATGATCAAGACAGTAGGAAAGCAGCGTCGACTTGGTTTTCGCCAATTGGGTCCCTTATCTCTTAATCCAGGCCAAGAGGAAGATGCTGCGCGTCACTCCTATCACTCAGCTCACGTCGTTAAGCAGTTTGAGGTAAAGCAAGAATTTCTTTGGGACTGCTGACGCACGTAGTCCTGCACGTTGAACCTGGTCTCGTCAGTGTTGCCACTCTTTCTAGCCTTCAGGTCCCTGGAAAGAGTGAAAGGATATTTTTCAAATATATTATTTTCTCATCATTTCCACAGGTCCACGATATCTCCTTACCTAGCGACCGCTATGAATGCCAGTTCCACGTTGAGTCCCGTTTTCGCTGAAGTCTCCATGAATGGAACCTTGTACTCGCGAGCCAATCGTTCGCCGTCTTCTCGTTTGATTGCCCTCTCGGCGCCGCAGTCGGCCTTGTTGCCTGAAAGTCATCATCAAGGATCATTCCTGCTCTCGGCTGAGGATATACCTCGTGACTTGGACCTGGTCCATGATCGTCATCATCATCGGCGATACCTACCCAGTAGCATTATTACGACGTCCTCGTGTGCATACTCCCGGATCTCAACCAGCCAGGCCCTGATGTTATCGAAACTCGTCTTGTTCGTCACGTCGTAGAGGAGCAGCAGTGCTGAAACCAGTTGCAAGACTCATCCATTATGCAATCCCATTCGAGAGAGACACGCATCGAACATGCGCATTACGCGCCACGCGAGCGACAACAGCCAAGAGAAGATTCGAAACCGTAGGAACTCTGATTGTTCTCGTTATAGGAATCCCAGAGGAAGAGGAGGAAGAGGAGGAAGAAGAGGAAGAAGAGGAAGAAGAGGAAGATACACTGGGCGTTCTTCAAATATCTCGGATTATCTAAAAAAGATGGACCCACCGTGAATAATTTTCAAGCCGACTGTAAATTATCAAACGGATCAAATCCACGTTACGTATTTTGGAAGAAATTTGGAAAAATAATAGAAAACATTATTCGCCCTCTGTAAGAAGGGGGGGGGGAGAGGAAATTGGTATGTCACCGAATCACGAGGTTACAAAGGGTGCCTTTGACATACGCGTCCTGGAGTTCTAATAGAGTTCCATAAGCTTGCTGACGCATCAGAATTGACGTTAGTATCATTATTCGCCGGTAGATGGCGCCAAATGCTCTCTGTCAAACGTCAAAACATACGCACGTGTTCGTCATGCACGATGAATACCTCGTGGCCCTGGCATAAACAATTAATAATTAATATCTAAGCAGCGATTTGGGGTTAGGTCAAAATTGTAAGGACTGATAACGTAAGTTGAATATTGAAAAAAGTGAAGAAAAAGTATTCTTCGCCTGAGAGACCTATTGACGACGCAGTGCCAATCGAGAAATCCAATCGCACGGATCCTCAAGGCACATTCCTAAGACGCTTCCGTGACAAGGATTAACGTATCAGGATCCAGGATGATCTGGATGAAGAAACGCGATGGGTCGAAGGTTCCAGCAGACGCGTTTACGTTACGCAGCGGCCATTGGGACGTGGATAATTTAGCGATTGCGGAATAAGCCTGAGGTCTCACTTGAGGTCCAGGACTCGGGATGGACGGTCGGGAGTGTGCCATTTTACATTTAGCGGGGCGTGCCGTGCTGAATCCTTAGATCGACGCCGACAAAAGGATCGGCAGTCCTGTTCTGGCCGTGACGATCCTGAAAAAAAAAGGATCTTACCATGAGCATCCCTGTAGTAGGCGTGAGTGACACTGCGAAATCTTTCCTGGCCTGCGGTGTCCCAGATCTGAAGTTTGACCCGGGTGTCGTCAACGGTAACGACTTTGTTCTGCAATTAAGAAAAAAAATTATACTAAGCGTCATAATTGTTTGTCAAAAAAACGAAATGGTTTTTCTATTTATACAGGCTGCGAGCACTGCGTTCATTTCGTCGTCCCGGAAGCGCAACGTATTATGAACTGGGATCATCATCCACCCTTGATCCGCTAGTCACCCTAGCGTGCATCCTATTCCCATGGGACCCCCTGCTTGGCACGCTGGGAAGGAGGAGGAAGGAGAGGTGCAGCAGACTGTGGAAGGTTGTGCCAGGAGAGAGAGAGAGAGAGAGAGAGAGAGAGAGAGAGAGAGAAACAGCAACTCCACGGCAGAGCCACCACGTGGACAGTCGGTAATCTCGTTTGCGTTTCTGCACAGGGTGGTTGGGTCGTCTTGTCTTTTTGTCTTTTTATTAATTCTTATGGACAGTGTCAACGTCCCGTGCTGCGGGATACATTGTCTCACCCTGAAATCGATGCCCACGGTGGATATGAAGTTTCCAGATAGAAAGAATCCGTCGCGGAATTGCACCAGGAGGCAGGTCTTCCCCACGCCGCTGTCTCCGAGTAGCATCACCTGATTGTAGTTTTTTCTCAATTTAGTACCAATAATGCCCTTCGCTGGCAAACAAACCGGGGATTTGGATATACGAGTTTATCATGGGACCTTCTGTCGGATGGTGCTTCGACACGGAACGATTCTAGCGGAATTGGCTGGTATTAACGAGGGAGAATTCGGGGCACGCGAAACGAACGAAAGGAGGGATGGAATCGTTTCCTGGTTAGCTGAGGGCGCTATTAATCTCGGAGAGTCCGTATAAAAAAAAAAGTGCCAAGGCAATCTCGGGTAACGACGGGAGCGAGACGAGTTATTTTTTTTTTTTTTTTCGAAATACGTATTACCGACGAAAACTCTCCGAGGATCGTCTTCGAGCTATTGGAAGATACAAGGATGAAAGACAGATTTAGTTACATTAAAAAAAAAAAAAGTAATTTAACTGAAAATGTAATAATATTGTTTTATCGAGGAAAAAATAATTAAAAAAGTCAATTTTCCATTATATCACGTGACCGTATTGAAAACCGATAAACGCGTTCGAATAATTCCCGCGCGAGTATACGTAAATCGTAAAGGTACATATTCACAATCGTACACGTTCGAAAGCCAAGCACTGTCAGAATATCCCATAAACTCAAAAATAGCTAATACGGCCGTTATCGAGGTAGCTTTAACAAAAAAAAAGTATACGAAAAACCGGATCATGGAATTATTTTCCAGCGATCGAAGAGAGCCAGAAAAATAATTCCTCGAGCGACGGCCATCTTTGCTTTCGTAGCCAGCTCGAATTCCACGATAAGTACTAAGGTATCAGGAGCGCATGGTCAGGACCTTGAAGAGGAGGTCGCAGGTCTCGGCAGTAGTAGTTGGATTCTTGTGCGTAGCATTGGGATTGCGCGGACTGCCGGTGGTGGCAGCACCAGCGGGCGCAACAGTATTGTGCACGGATTGTCGACGAGTGAAGACGCTGGCGTTGGCAGCGGCAGCAGCAGCGCCAGTGGGCCCCGTGGGTTCCTGGGTAGCGTGACTCTTGAGGCCCCCCACGTTAGAGGGGGCACCGACGTCACGTGACACGCCGGGGGGTGTAGAGGGGCTCCAATCGGCACCGCGTACCCTAGATCCAGCGACCCGACGTACATTCCGTACGCCCTCCTCCATCGTGTTTCTGATCTCCTGCTACCAGGAGCACCAATTTGCTCTTCTTCTTCTCGGCCACTCCTCGTCGTGCCGCCCGTCTGCGCCTACCTCGACGGTACCTCGGCCGTGGGGTCACTCAACTCGGCTATACGCTTCTGTGCCTTACGTTTGCCGCGTTCTGCGCTCCGTCGAGAACGTCTGCTCGTAAAAGCGGAACAAAGCCTGCTCTTGCCCTCCACGCCCCTCTCGACCTCCTCCAGCACAGCGCGTAGCTCCTGCCACTCCTACTACTCCCAGTACTCTTAGTACTCCGGAGCGTAGCGCCACGAAGGAAAGAGCGTGCACACGGGAAAGTAGCGAAGGAGGTCTCTCGTGTGGAAGCCCAGGAGAATATTTTCGTTTTATTTTTATTCCAACCTTCGGACTCGCAAAATTGAAATCTTCAAGTATCTACGAATAACGAAAACGAGGATAATCTGATGCTCAAGAAGACGGGAGGAATGAAATCGGTATTAATTTCATAACGATTTACGTATGTGGAGAATCAGTTTTGAGATAAAATTTTGTAAAATTTAATTTTCAAAATAATATTTTTTTTTACCCACGCTAAAAACGAATTTTGGAGAGAGTGAATAAAATTCGTGAATATCGCTGAATAAATGGGATCTGACAATAGAGGGGGGGGGGGGCGATTGCTTTGCTAATTGGTATAGGAGAGATTTGGGTTTTGACGCTGACGAGGACAGAAAGTTTGGCTATCCCCGCTTCTTGCCAGCCGAGCGCCACAGGTTACGGGCGGCACGTGCACGTTTGCGCGATTTTGCAAGCGGCTCTAAAAATAGCGGTGCGCGATCGCCCGAGGCCGCGCCCGCAGGAACTAAACGCGCTGCGAATAAGGTAGGATTACAATAATCCCAGCGCGACGTATCCTTTTTGCGAGCGCCGATTGGCATCGGGGGATTATTCGCGAATAAGAGCCAGTCCCCCCGACAGATCAAACCGACACTCGGCGATACCCATTTTTCGACGTCTCGTACTTGTGCCCACCATCCCCCCGACCGAAGAAGGACCCGCCGCGATCTCTTCACTTCCTGCCTCCTGATTAGCTGGAGGCAAAAGGGACTCGGTGGCTTCTTCAATAAAAACAGCTCCGAGGAAGCTACAGGCGAACCGGAGAATCCCTGTCGTCGACTCAGCCTTCGAAAAAGGGTCTGGGTTATCGATCGCGCTACAGGTTCTTGTACATTTAGGGGTGATTTCCAACCGAGCGACGCGCTGGACGCGCGACGCGGAACGTCGAATGGATTTCATATCGTGGTGATATACGCATGAACGGATTCTCGCTCCTCTCTAATAACTAAAATATAACGAAGCTTCCGAACTCGCTTGAATTTAGGGTCCTCATTGGTTGGTCGGTAACGAAGAACAAAGGGAGTCGAAAAGGCGCAGTTAACGAGCGTGAAGAGGAAGAGTAATAAAATAAAAATAGAGGGAGAGAGAGAGAGAGAGAGAGAGAACAAGGATGAGTCGCGATAGCAGCACGAGTAGACGATGAGAATCGGTAGATTCGAGGCTGGTCGGCCCTGCCTACCCGCTTTGGGCCCACCCACGCCCCAGAGACAAGATGAAAAGGCTCCTTTTTTCTGGGCCCCGTTCCTTCTCCTGGGAGCCGGGACCCAACTGGTGGCGCCCTACCTGACCCACGCTAGGCGTGGGCCACGACTCTCCTCGATCTTCTCGTCGTTCGCTTTGTGCTCGGCCACTGACACCATCATACTCACGTGACCCAACTTTTGCGTCACTTTTTTCCTTGTCCGCTCGTGCCATGCTCTTTACGTTCATGTTCTCTGTCTCTATTGCTCACTCTCTGTCGACGTCAGTTCTACGCTCTTTCTAATAGACACACGGCGCGTCCTGTTCTCCGGCGGACTCGGGCCAGGCCTGAATCTATCAACGAGGATGCAACTAGAGCGCGCACCGGTCTTTTCCAACTGTTGCGAATCCGTGGGGTAAGCTTAGGTTGATTGGGATAATTGGATTTTTGGGTTCTTGGCGACCTGGCTCAATTTCGTCCTCCTCTTAAATACCAGCCGGCACTCTGGTTTCTGTGTCGAATAAATGTGAAACTTGTCCTGGAATTAATCGAGTTCGGAAAGTCATCGATTTCGCAGTCAGAATCGAGCGACTGCCTAGATATTTTCGAGCGTAAGAACCGGATATCTTTATGTAAGCAGGACAAAAACCTCCTGCGCAGGTGAGAGCAGGACGTTCAACTCTGCCTATTTGGTTGTGTGAAACTGAGAGCACACTACGGCTGCCCACGTGACGGATATTCGGACGCGGGTCTACCATTAGGAGGATCGTGAACTTCCTATCGCTGTCGATGTTCTAGAAGGTTTGAGGGGGGGGGGCTCGGTCGATTGGCAAAAATTGAAGGTACTCGTGAAAAATTTGTATAACAGGAAAATAAAAAAGAGTTTACGTACGAGTTCAAACGAATTGGATCGTCGGTTGTCACAAAGGCGACACCTGTCGGAAATTATTGATTTGCCTACCGAAGGTAATCCGATAGGTAGTAACGACACGTCACGCGCCGGAAAGTGCGTTAAGTCTTTTGATAATGGAGCGGAACCAGCCGGATCCCTTTTACCCTCGAGCCAAATCAACCCCTCTTGAATACCTCATAAGCCCGTGTACGTCCAGTACGCAAAACAACCCTTGCGCAACCTGCCCCGAAGACCATCCGATTAACGTTTGACGAGGGTGCGTCCAGGACACACTGTCGCGGCAAAAACGGGCCACCATTACTGCTTTGATTGGCGATGTTCGCAGTTAAAAAAAGGTTTGTGGCAAAATATTACGAGCGACATTAATTCACCTTTATATACGGTGTCAGTAATAAAAAGGACCGATTTTTTGGGTCTCTCTAATTAGCGAATTGAGTATGTCGCCCAAAACCGACGTCGAATTCTCATGGTTCGTGACTCCTAGTTTTACAGTATTAAATTATACAAATTCGAGTAAAAGGATACGGATTAAAGTAACGGCGATTACATAGAAAAAAAACGGCAATTAATTGAAAAAAAAAAAAATAATTTATGTAATTTTAAAAAATTCTAGAAGGAATAACTGTAAAAATGTTCTCGCCGTCTCGATACAATGTTTCGTTGTTGGTACTTAATACCCCGTTGACGTTACGGGAGAACCCATCCGCCATCATGAAAATTAATTACTCTCTTTGACAGAAGCCACGGCCATTACGCGCACGGCGACCACTACAGAAACATCAAGCGCCCACGACCTCTTCCCCGCTGGCTGTTAGCTTCCTGAAAGCCAATGCCACACGACTGTACACGCGCTTCCGTAAGTGTTACATGCTTGTAATTACCAGAAGATGCGCAAGACGGAGTCTCGAGGTCAGTGTGCAAAGCGCTTCAAGTTTTTTCTTCTCAGTCGATACTACTAATTAACAAACTAATTAAACCTACCACGTTGTTTACAGCAAGAGCATGTTACGGTCTCAACACCGAATCCATTCCGTACTTCGTTAACCAAAGACCAGCTCCATTTTCACGAGTATCGGAATCCGCTTATAAGGGTTCCACCCGGTATATAGCGCCAACAAATATCCCAATTATTGATACCTTGCAAAGGAGACGCTGCTGTCTCGCGCACGAGAAACGATACGAAGAAAATTGTTTCTATTCGCACACTCAGAGTAACTATGACATGCAGTGTCATCGACTGGCAGAGCGACCAATCAGAACGATCGATGAACACTCGTAAGTATCGCCAATCTCCGCAAATATCGTCATCACCGTGTGGACATAGAGAGGGGGGAGCAACGTTTGGTGGAAAATTTTTACAAATAATTCAAAGCCAGTAAAATTCACTTTTAAGAGAAATAGGAGGCCGCCGGCTGGATTCGAACCTGCGACCTGGCCAATACGAGACTGGCTCTCTATCCACTGGGCCACGGTCTACCGGCTGAGTGTAAATTAAATATCGTCAACATATACACATACGGTCCATCCCGAAAAAAAATTATATAACGAATTACCCCTGCAACCTATGTACGAACAAATAAACGATACAACCCGGTATATATAACATGAAAGTGAAATATAAAATGTCAGAATAGCTTTTGCTTACGGTAATATATCAAAGTCAGGACAAAAAACGGAAATGCTATCCAGCAGCATCGGAGACTCAAAAAGCTTTTTAATTTTCAACGGCAGAAGTTCAATTCGATTTCCCGTCCAATTTCTTTTTTCCCACCCCTGTTCGCCAAGTATCCACCCTTTCGTCGCCCTAACAAAGTCAAGAGACTTCGTAAGAGGGGTGACGAAAATGGGTAACAATGGGGCGTTCTGGATGTAGGCGCGAGAGCTAATAATTCCTCCTAACCCTATCGCGCGTTTACGGAAATGGGGACATCCCCTAATTTCTCCTCCCGAATCCCCTCCAACGCTTTCCGTGTTCCGAATACACACTTTTCCTCCTGTTTCGTCATTAATGCCTCAGGCCCGCCAACTACTATGGTATTAAATCAAAGTTCGCCTCAGGCTTGATGTGACGTCACAAAGGCCTAACGCTGATCTGAATGGGTGCCCCTAGCCCCTCCGGCCACCCTCGCCCATATGCGAACATGCAGATAGCAGGCAGGACTGTATGTCGTATGCCAATTTACGTATACATAAATATATATATATATATACAGATATACAACGCACATGAAATTTTACGCCACAGGCCTCGCTGACTTTTCCAAGAGTCTTTGTACAGGCGAAGTAATTGAAATGAACAAAGTGGAGAAAAAAAAAAGCATAAAATGTTCGTCAAGGGATATCGATCTCGTAACCAAGGGCAACAAGATGGACGCTGATAAGAGTGACTTTCGAATGTAAAGTGTATTCGTACGTTAGGAGGGGGACTGCTTTTAATCAGACAGATTCCGGCAACGGCGTGAGTTAGAAGTGTCAGCGGGAATGTTTCAGATTAGAGTGAAACGGATAGGCGGGTTCAATGTAAAAGTGCGATTACGTTTTATCAAGTCACCCGGTAGATTACGGATGATCCCGAAGAGCGACTTTCGCTGCTCGCGTATTGCTGTCGCTACGGTATATAGATAGTACAGAGTCGAGTCGAAGGGTCGCCCGGACGTGTGCCCGGGAGAAATTCTCGGCAAGGATTAAAGGGGATTTCTAATTATATTAATTAGCCTTGAAAACGGCTGATATTGTGACTTTGGGTCGTTTTCATCTCTTTGAATAAAAACTTATTGACTCGCCGCCATCCTTCCGGATAATTATATCGAGCTTTGCGAACATTTGGCCGGTCGCCGCTGGCAAGTGGCTGACGAAGGATCAAAGTGCTCGGTAGGAGTGGCGGGACTCGTGGGACAATAAAAATTTTGAAACGGACTGAAAAGCAAGTAAAGTCGCCGCGTTAGGAACTGCCCTTCGGTAGTCCCAATGGTAAATCACGCCCACTATTCTACAGGGTGCCCCGGTACCGGTATGCGTCTTGTGAACTCGCCATAAAGCTATCCCGCCAATCACGTGTTACACGAGTCGTAAATAAATCGAGGTTGACAAAAATCCGATTTTCTCCTTTATTAAATTCAAAAAACACTGGCCGCGCCCCTACTTAGAAATCGCCTGTATAATTGCTCGCGCGGCCTCATAAATCAGCCTTAACGTACATAGAAACGCACCGTGCACAAAGCACGTGTCTGTGCGTCTCGCGAATAAAAGACGCGACCGAGTGACGATGACTTTGAGTGTCCTTTTTGGATCCACTCGTTTTTTTTTTTTTTTTCCTTTTTCCTTTATCCATTTTTTGTCCATCCCCTCGTATTTTCTACGTTTAGAGGAAAGTGAATTTTGGCTGACGAAAAAAAAGGCGAGTCGTTTTAAAGTGAGTTTTTTAAGGAAAAAATTGTCCAAAAAATTTTTCGTGTAAAAATTTTTTTTTTCTTTTTTTTTTTTAACCAACCCCTTATATCTTCACGTGACACTGGCATAATATTTCTGCATATTTCTCACGTTAATGAAACGCTAATCGCGCGGGCCTACGGAACGTTATAAGCCCGTAAATCTCGTACGTAGCCAGTTCTCTGTAATCTGTGCGCTGTACTCCTATACTCCGTAAGGAACGTCGCCCGGGGGGCCTTAACTCGAGCCACCGAGGGAAGTAAGGCCCATTTCGTAACCCTGGAACGTTAACCTGCATTCGCGCAGGTCGCACCCACTTAATATTACAATTCTTACTCCCTGACTTTATATGCCTGTCGCGTTGAGGATTTTGCGCAAAGACCAAGTCGATCGGTGGTATATAACGAGCGTGTGAAACCATGGGCTTAGACTTTACGTGCAGGTAAATCCGATACGATAAGAAAAACTTAAGGTGAATTTCTATGGATTTATATCGCGTTTTACATACATCTACCAACAACCTTCGGTCTTACCGTTAAAATATACGTATAATCGGGGATAGGAAGTTACGACGAAATTTTCTGTCTTAAACTATCGGAAGCGATCCTCAAGACTGGTTTTCAATAACCAACCTGATTTCGCTAATTAATGTGTTTGCGAGTGACGAGGTAGCATTCTTAGTTCACGGAGTAGCCAGCGAGGTCGTTTGTCTTACACGTCAATAGGAATGTGAACCTTAAGCCTTTTTACGGTTTTCACGTAGCGACTGATCTACCCGAGCATTTTAATTGCTATCGATATATCTATACATAGAGCTAACGACTTTCGCTATACGACAGACTTGAGAATTCACGTTAATCCTCTATCGATTATCAATACCTTCAATGAACACTGGATCGTCAGTTTTGTTCCATGTCGGGGTACCAACCCCTTTTACGAGAAAAAAAAAATTTTCATTCAAACTTCAAGATTGCGCAGCAAAAAGCTGTAGCGCCGTCTTGAGTTACTTGAAAATTCCCCTTGAGAAACCACACGGCTTTCAGCCAACTTCAAGCGGATGATAGATGACTTCAGCCGCATCCACAAAAAAAAAAATATATGCCCGTGGCAACCGACGGCCCGTCGCTTCCGCCATTTATGGAAACGTTCTCGACGCCTCGAAGAAAAATTTTTTTGTGATAATCTCCTTTATTTCAATCCCAAAGTTCACGACCCCCCCCCCCTCCCCCC